TAAGGAATACACTGTGTATTTCTTGAATGTTTGGCACTCACTACTCTCAGCTGATTTATCATAGCGGTTATGATATGAACATTTTATTATTTACTGTATGTGTTTATGAATATTTTTGTTATTTTAGTTCTAGAGTAATTAAATTATCAATTTTTGCAGAGAAGTACTGTCTTAAGGCCACAGTATTTCCCAAAAATACTGCCTAAGAATTTGTCCATAAGCATGAAGTCTAACAATTAGTTATGAGCAGTTTTCCACCATGGATTATATGCAGCGCGACTTTTGATATTAATTTTCAGCCCTAATTAGTATCAAAATAGCAAAATGAATGCAGAAAGATTCATTTGTTTTGTCAACAGCTTGATCTCATGAAATCACTACTCTTACTTAGCAGTAGTAAGCTTTTTTATTGCCTTAATCGATTACTAGAAATCTCTCAAACAGAAAGGATACTATTTGATTTCATGTCTCTGTGAATTATATTCTTTGCATGCAAGTAGCTATAAACAGAATTTGATATATTTTTAGAAGTTTCAAAAGCAATAAGCAACAGTATTAATTTCCCCAAACTGTTTTAGACAAAACAATTCTATCCATCTAGATCGGGGTAGGCAACCTTGGTTCTTTTATGACTCGTGGACTTCAACTCCCAGAATTCCTTTTCTGGGAGTTGAAGTCCACAAGTCAAAAAAGAGCCAAGGTTGCCTACCCCGATCTAGAATAAGATAGTGCATTTTCTTTCTGTACAAAGAGAAATACAGGAAGCTCTCAGTTTATGATCACTCATTAAGGAGCTGTTTTGTAAGTCACTCCTATTCCGAATGCTTTATCTCCTCAGGAGCCCAACTAACAGAGTATAAGATCCCAAGGATCTCATACTCCATAGCATCCACCCATCCCATCTGTGCGGCGCTGCAGCAGCCACTTGACTTGTGGCAGAAGCCACCCCCACCCGACTGCCACTTGCGTCATGCCACAGCAGCCACTGATGAGCTACCTAAATTTGTGATTTCCTGCTGGCTTCCTCACTGACTTTGCTTGTTGGAAGCTGGCAGAAAGTTGGGAGGAAGTCCTTGCTTAATGGCAACGAGAGATTGCTACTTGATTACCCAAACATCAATACAAGCACTGATGATGTTACCTAGTTTGGATAATGAAATGTCTGCAGGAAAACAAGCAAACTCAGAGAGCATCAAGGACCCCTCATTCAAACCTAAGCTACAAATATTATTCATTAGATTGCTATCTTTAAGCAATGGGGTCGCTTGACATCACAATTTTTTTTGCCAAAAACTTAAGATAACATTTCCTCTAGAATCATTTTTGTTCTACTGAGCAGTCAACCACACTTCAACAACCTCTTAATGCAACAAGTTCTGTTATCATTAAGCCTACTCACTCCATTCCTTGTGCTGTCTGTCTTGCAATATCAATACGTTGTAACATTGGAAACTTGGTCTCCTGAACATGCAGGTGTTTATATAGGCTACTTCCTTCACACCACTGTGTGACAATGGCCAGGTTATCTTTAGTCATATAGCCCATAAATAGTAGAATATTAACATGCCGAGTTTTCCTACCAGAGACAAATAAGAAGACATATTCAGCTGAAATTTTAAACATCTTAAATGCTGAAAGTCCAGCTCCACATATAACATAATGTAAAACAAATGTGTGATACAGATGAACTTCTAAAGTCCTCAATATTGACATTTAGTCTTAGTTTTGCTGTAATTCCAAATAATATTCTTTTAAGTTATTTGGACTGCATGCATTGGTATATAGTAGAACCACATGGTTCTCCAACATGCTAGAGTCCCTTAATTTGTATAGGAGTACTTAGCAGTTTATTTCATTGCTTTTCATTTATATCTCATAGCATTTCATATTGTTTCCCATCTACTTAATATCTTCGTAAAATCACAGATTAAGACCACTAACAATATTAATACTCCTGCACCTGCAGGAGGAGGAGTGGCAGAACCAGGGTGCAGAGTCAAAAGAGGAATCAGCCTAGATAATCTACATAGCCAGACATTAACTAAGTCCAACATCCCTTGAATTTCGCTGACCCTTATCTAATGCCAAGATAGTTGAATAGACTCCTCTACATTGGCATGATTAATAGTAAATCAGTTTATTTGGAATTTCATGTATGGTCCTGATCTGTCATGCCTGACAGTACTAAAATTCAGATCATTTGAAAAACAGAGCTTTGGGCACACAGCCCATTATGTGTAACCACATAAGCATCCGGGACAAATACAGCTTGGGATCAGGCTTTAATACAGTCTGTGGCCAAGAGATAATACAGCCAGCACGGTATTTCAACTGAGGAGAGCATTAAAATTAACTGTCTGGTTATTAACTAACAATTGATACATTTTAAAAAATGGTCTTTCAAAGAGTCTCTCTCAATATGGTAAATTAACAGGAAAGCTATGAAACCTTTTAAGAGACTGAAATATCTCAGAACTGTTTTCCATGCTGAGTAGAGTTCAGTATTTGAAAGACAAAATGAAAAGAAGTACAGCTGCCATCTCTAGTTTTTCTGTATGAGAGAAGGGTGGATTAAAAACATCTGGGTGGGTGGATTAAAAACATTTTGAGGCACAGCTATTTAATTTTTGAATACTTTATATTTCTGGTCCAATAATGAGTCCCAAACTCAGTCCTTTGACTTTGGAATGGCATCAATTAAAATGTAAGTTCAGATAGAAAACATTACCATTGGGTTAAATTAATTACTTTTAACCTAAGTGAGTTGGCTATTCTGACTTTTTAAGGTAAATTTCAGTCTTCTTGGTGGAAATTGCTTAGCAGAACTCTAAGACCATTGATCTTCACTTAATACTTATCTCAATAGGTTTTGAATAGATCAAATCATTCCTCAAGCAATGTGAAAAAGACATTGATCTACAAAATGATTTCTGATAGATTTGTTCTCACTTTATCCCAGTAAAACCAGAAAACAAACATTGCACCTTTCCATCATTTAATATCACTTCCACAAATAAGGAAGAGTCTTCACATTAGCCTATTATAGCACCTTTACATCTGTTCTTCCAGATGTATTTCTTCAAAATTGTAGGTCATGTACTACTGTGCTTTGCAGAAATATTCAAGACATATATATTTCTCCAATCACAAATTTACGCAGAACTGAGGATGACAACTTATATTAACTGATGAAGAGGAAGAGATCTTTGGCAGTTAGAATCTATATATTGGCTATGATGGAATGTAAATATTGCTTAAAGCGGGAAAGTCAAGTATTGCTTTATGTTAATATATTTTATATGTTTTTATATATTACCTTCGTTTGTGTGTGGGTGTATGTACACACACATACACACATTTTGATGTATTTATTTTATTACTGATAGTTGCTTCGATCTGTAAGTGCAGTACATTGTATTTTAAACTTTACTACAATCTAAGCTACAATACTGACAGGATAATTTT